CAAAATATTACAGCTGAACTTTCTCACAACTCGCCAAAAAAACCCCAAAACAAATGGCTGTTTGGCTCAGGAATCCAGCGATGATTCAATATTTCTGCGTGCCCTCTCTTTTCGTGGCATTCCTCCAGTTGGCACTCAGCACGGGGGAGAGATCTTACAAGAAATGTGCATGCATTATATGCATATAATCCTGTGTGGGCGAGACGCCGCACTTGTGTTGCCATTATTTTACCTACAGAGCTGCAGAGAAAGGCGCAAAGAGACTGACACCTCCCTTTGTGATGTGCTGCGTGTTGCGCCTGTTTGCCGTCGGTGTTATCTCAAGGCATGCGTCCAGAGATTTGTCATCAGGTCGCTCTGTTTGCCTTTCCACTCGACCAGAGCAGTTTACAGGAACGGCAAGCACCTGCTATTGAGCATAATACCGCTCAGGATGTTTGCCCGGCGCTTGTTTATCTGTGTTTGTGCAATGAGGTGGAAAGAAAAATCGTTCAAAGGCGGAGGAACACTGAGGAACTTGTGCAGGGAGGAAGCTAAAAGTAACAGTGAAAGGAGGCGAATGAACCGACACTGAAAAAAGATGGTGTTTAAATAAGCCTCTGTGGAGTGTTGTGTGCTTCCTGTTGAACTGGAGCAGATAAAGTTATACGTATTTATAGAACCGTACCGGAGCTGCGTTTGGGTGTTGTGGTCAGCGAGCAGGATGTTGTGACCCCTCCGGGAGCCCACATGCGCTGAGGTCAGTGGGGCACGGCTCACGGCGCTGTCGGATCTCCACCTTGTGGCTTGGACCCCATCTTGCAGCGCTGAACGGCTGCGTGGCACACCGCCTTAAACAAACACGCACAGACCGTGCCGTCCGGGCCCACCGGCTGAGAGCTAAGAGTACAGAAACAAGGTCAAAGCAAAGCAAACAGCCAACAAACAGGTTCAAATTCTGTGTGGAGCCGCTCTGTTGAAACTGACACCTTTTGGGAATTGGTAGAAGTATTTTTTCAAATGCAGCCATGGGTGTAAGAGTCCGGCTACCCAACATAAGCAACAATCAAGTCCGATACGGCCGCCGTTATGCTTTACAAGTAAATTTTGTCACAAGATGCTGTGCAGACTCAAAGTTTCTGTCTCCGCTCCATGGACGACACCGTGCACGCTCAGCAGTAACGTCTATACACAGCACCTGCTGTGCATAAAGTCCTTCAGTAGAAAAGTAACGTAAAAGCAGTTCCCTGGGAATCCAGTGTGCATCTTTTTTTTTTTTTTAGCCAAACCATGTTTCAGTAGCCACGCTCCCATAAATATACATTTTAACCACATTCAAACATCAAGTAGTTCTGACCAACCAGAAGATGTTCCCGCCTACTCTGTGGCGATTCAAAGATGCTTTTCTTACTGTCATTGAAAAGTGAAAATGCATGTTTTTCACATGTAAATAAGGAAATGTTTTATTATGTAAATTCCGGACTATAAGCAGCTACTTTTTCCACACGCTTTGAACACTGCAGATAAACAATGATGTGGCTAATTTATGGATTTTTACGAAGAAGATGGCGATCAATGACTTTTCCTGGTAGGCTGCTGTAGTTTTTATTTCCTTAACCAGCCGTGTTACAGGCACTGTTCAGAAAAAAGCATCTACAGAATTTGTGTGTGTTACCGGTACAGATTTAATTAGAAGTTTAAAACATCTTTCTGTGTAAATATCTCATCATGGCTTATAGACAAGTGCGGCCTGTATATGTACACAACTGGTTTTCTTGTTAAAGTTAGTGGGCGTGGTTTATATTCAGGTGCACTCATAGTCTGGAATTTACGGTAGTTAAAGCACGTATGATTTAGGTTTAACTGTGGATTTAGTTGAAGCGCTCCCACAAACTCTTGAAGCCTGTAAACCTGCAAGGACATGTTCTTGTCCTGTGTAATTTAAAGTTATCAACAATTAAGCAGCCGTTCCAGATTTTTAATCAATTACATTAAAAGGCTTATTATACTGTATATGAGCCCTCAGTTACTTCTACATAGCAGTCTAAGTAGAGCAAATAATAAGACTGAGGGACTGTAACACGACTACAGAAGAGAAAAAAGGAAACGCTGCCATCCCAGTGTGAGTAATGCTCTCAGTCTGGACACCACTATAAAAACTGTCTGGCTCCACCGCCGCCGCCGCTATCACCGAAGACAACTTATAAACACGATAAGTGTCTTTATTTCTACGCTACGCTGCACCTACACCGAAACAGCCTCCCAAAAAGTAATACAGAAAGCCGTTAATAAAGCTGGGCCAGCCGGCGGTGTGAGAGGCGGCGCACCTCCTGTGTGGAGAGTTATAAGCTCCGGGGTCGCCGGGTCACCACTGAAACCTGACATCACGCCTCGAGTATGCCGAGCAAAAACACATGTCGGCAAAGCCCCTGCAATAGACGGGTAATTTATGAGTGTTAGAGTGGACTTAACCTCTGTGTGTCTTCAATAAAAACCAACACGATGAGATATGGAGCTGCTTCTTATGTCATCCTTGAAGCTGTGAGTCTGGAACCACTCCAGCAGAGCATGTAGCAGAGGAATGTAATTTAAACATTGGATAAGTTTAGCACCCCGCTGCTATAAGGGAGTGAAAATCCTGTTTCTGTGGTGAGGTCTGGGAGGTGGATAGTCCATCAATGACAGCCAGAGGATTGTTTAATAGTGTATTAGATTAAAACAGCTGTGAACATATGAGACAAAAACACAAAGTTTAGTTGTGTGAACAAACCCCAGACATGTTACCTCCGTGGTCCATAATGGTCCATCATGTCATGATAATGGAGCCTCCTCGGCCTGCGCTGCTCTGCTAATCGCTTCGGTCTCCCATGGCGTGCTAGTCCGCCGGCAGAGATCAAGGTGACAAGGTGGAGGTTGCAGCCAGCCTTGTGGTCGTAAAACATCCCTCCACCTCACAGGCTGCTCTGAGGGCTCTGACTGACCTGACATCAGAGCCTGATGAGGTTCATCTTGTCTCGTCTGATTACAGGTTTTCTTTGTTTATCAGACAATGAGAATATTTAAGTAGGAGCTGTTTTTACTTTTTGACATGTTTCGACTGTCACTTCCTCAGAAACGTCACTGACGTCTGTGATGACGTGTCTTCATCAGCTGGTGGTTTTCTGAGGAAGACTGAAGTGTCAAAATGGAGGAGACGTGACCCGCCTGGCAATCTGTCACGCCTCCTCCAGGAAACCACCAGCTGATAAAGACACCAGTCTTCCTCAGAAACGTCGGGCAAATCTGATAGACTGCCAGGCGGGTCATGTCTTCTCCAGACACTTCAGTCTTCCTCAGAAAACCACCAGCTGATGAAGACACGTCACCACAGACATCAGTGACGTTTCTGAGGAAGTGACAGTCGAAACATGTCAAAAGGTAAAAACAGAAAACCGTATTCCTACGACTTGACATCAAGCTGCACAAGTGGACCGGTACGGTCGGGGTTCTAGCTGGAAACGTGGAATCTTTACCCTGGTTGCCTTCAGTGCACCTCTGGCTTTTACTTTCTTTCTTCTTTATTTTCATTATTTATTCATATAGAAAACTGTCAGATATATTGTTCAATAGGCGCTGCAAGGTGTCTCGGTGGTTAGCACCGTCACCTCACAGCTAGAAGGTCGCCGGTTCGCATCCCAGTGAGGACACCCGGGATCTTCCTGCGTGGAGTCTCCATATTCTCCCCGTGCAGCGTGGGTTCTCTCCGGGTTCTCCAGCTTCCTCCCACAGTCCAGAAACATGCTGAGGTTAATTAGTGATTAGAAATTGTCCGTAGGTGTGAATGTGAGTGTGCTTGGTTGTCTGTCTCTAAGTGTAGCCCTGTGATAAACTGGTTACCTGTCCAGGTGAACCTGCCTTCATCCTGAGTCAGCTGGGATAGACTCCGGCCCCCCACGACCCTAGTGAGGGTTAAGGTGTAGAGATGATGGATGGATGGATGTTCAAACCCCATAAACAGTCGATCACATCCCTCGGTAACAGAGCCCTTTCGCCCTTCGTCGCTCTCCCTGTAGCCTCAGTGCAGCTCTCCTGAGGCATGTGAGTCCACTAGCGGACGGCAGAGACCAGCTGTTGCTCTTGTGCGACTGGTGTTGGGGCCTGAAAACACCCGTGACTCTGTGACCACCACCTACACTTTACTGTTTTGCAAGCCATGCATCTCTGGGTTTTACCTTCTTTCTTTTTTGAAAACTGTATGAAGGTGAGAGGACTCCTACACCCTATCCAGGAAACAACGTCGTCTTAGTCGCTGCAGTGAGCACAAAATCAATTCTGTCAAACTGTCCTCCATCAACAGGTGAGGCTCGGGCCACATCTGCAAATTAAATTTAAATAGTTCCCAACGATCATAACTGATGTCTGACAAGTGCAGAAGCAGAACTGGATGGTTCAGATGCTGCAGGCCTGAGTCACTACACTGCAGTCATGTCAGACTATCAGATGTAAATACATGCTGGAGTTCGGTCTGACTGGGAAACTTTCCTCCAGGCAGCAGAGAAATGTTTTCGGCTCAGACATACATGAGCTCCGGTCTCCTCTGGCCCTGTTATGAAACCTTCAGTTCACTGCTTCACTTCGCTTCAGAAGCACGTTTCCTGTATGTTTTTGCCGATCGGCTGGTGACAGTAATCTTTCTTTCAGTTTTGTTTTTTGTGTTTAAATCACCACCTGTTGATATAAACAGGCTGCCAAAGTGATCTGAAAGTGGTCTTCCAGCCTGGCCCAGTCTGTGATACGTACAGCAGGCTGAGTAAGACCTGAACTCTTGTGCCTCTTTGAACTAAATCAGGGTGTTTGCGTCGACTCGCAGCCTATAGGTGAAGCTATTTCAGAGCATGTCATTTCAAGTCCTGCTCTGCTGCCTTAATGACATGCTTCAAGACTCTGTGAGCCACACGAGCATGACTAAGAAGCAGAAGCAGAAGAGAAAAAAAAAAAAGGCTGTCCAACCCCTCTGAAGATTTCCTGTTTCACCAAAAGCTCATATAGGGCAAGTCCTGCAGCCTGCTGCTGTTTACCCTCCTGCTGCTGCCGACGCGTCCACAGCGGCTACAGGCGGACCGAGTCTGGATCCTAACCCCGCTGCCGAGGCCAAATTCATGAGAGAGAGGGGCGCGTGGAGTCCGGCTCTAAATGGAGATACTTCGGTTTTCCGCTTTCTGGTGTGGAACGATACTCTTTGGTAGTATCGTGCTCGAGGAGGCGGCGGGTGAGTCCCAGAAAAGTTTAGTCAGAGCCGCGTTTCATCACCGGAGAGTCGGTCAGAGCTCAGCGGGACCAAGTGGCGCACTTCAGCGGACAGTGTAGCGACTTAGCGCCGCTCGGTTCATTGTTACACTGAGTTCAGTCCTAATATGGAAACTTTATTAATTATAAAACAGGATACGGAGCCCTGGATGTTCACCTATAGCTCTATCTGCTGCTAGCATGGGCGGACATAACATCTGGACATAAGGGGGACTGATTACTGAACTTCTCCCTGGACAGTTTATACATTTATTATAAAACTTTTTAAATTTTAATTCTTTAAATTTCATTTTTTTATGCACCAATGTGTGACTTTTATGTAAATATCTAAACTTTATTTTTTAAATATAATGTAGTATACATTCTGTGAGGCCCTCAGGCTCTATTTACTCTCCTTTAAATCAACTTTTCTCCTTTATTATTATGATTTTCATCTGGAGTCAACGCGATACTCTTCTGTTCTCCTTTATGTGTTTGTTTGAGGAAGTAGCGTCTTAAAATGTGCACATGGCACTTTTTCCCACATCGATAATAAATTTATTCATTATTATTCTGCTTTCAGCTAAAATAAGTCCACGTCATTTATTTAAAAAGAAAAGAAGCTGCCCAGATGTGGATATGGAGCCCTGTATGTTCACCTAGCTTTAGCCAGCTAGCTAGCATGGACGATCTGGACACAAGGGGGACGTATTATTGAACTTCTCCTAGGACATTTTATACATTTATTACAGCATTTATTTAATTTTAATTATTTAAATTTCATTTTTTTATGTACCAATGTGTGCCTTTTATGTAAATATCTAAACTTGTGTAAATGGAAAACACCAGGTGGCATTTTAAATACAGTGTAGTGTACGTGCTGTGAGGTCCTCAGGCTCTATTTACTCTCCTTTAAATCAACTTTTCTCCTTTATTATTGTTATCTGGACCGAGTCAACGTGATACTCTTCTGTTCTCCTTTATGGATTTAGTTTGAGGAGGTCACGTCTTAAAATGAGCACATGGCACTTTTCCCCACATCGATAATAAACTAATTAATTTGGATTCATTGATAGAGTACAGGGAAATAGGAGAAATTGTCTTTTAGGTGTTTTACGCCATCATACTGTACATTATTATACTGCTTTCAGCTACTTTTAGCTTTAATAATAAAGGAAAGAAGGTGCCCAGATGTGTAGCATATGGAGCCCTGTGTATTCACCTAGCTCTGTCTCGCTAGCTTTAGCTTGCTGCTAGCATGGGCGGTCATAATATCTGGACATAAGGGGGACTTATTGTTGAACTAGACGTTCCCTCCAGGACATTTTTTTATCATTTAACACGTAATTTTTTTGCATTCCAGTGAATTTTTATGCGGAGATATCTTTATGCAAAGAAAAGCACCAGGAGGTATTTAAACTATAATGGACTGTAACACTTCAAGGCCCTCAGGCTCTGTTTACTCTCCTTTAAATCAACCTTTCCCTTTAATTATCATCCCTGCTGAGTCAACATACTTTACTCGTCTGTCCTCTTTCATGTATTTTGTTTGTGCGTCACATCAATAATGAATCAATTCGTTTGGATTAATTTATGAACCTCTGGGACTCTGGAGCTCGTATGTATTTCAGCTCCAAACTGTGCACATTTGTGTTTGTAAAGAAGAAAGCGGGGCTGTTGGAGGCTATGTTGTGTCTATGGGATAAATGCGTGTGTTGTAAATACTGAGAGGGACGCATCCCCTGAAATCTATGCCGATGATTGCGAGCGTGTTTGTCTGAAATGCTAGTTAATTTCAGTTTACGCTCGGCAACTCCGGTGGAACTCTTAATGCTACGGTAGCGTCACCTGTGCTAAGTCGCAGCCTTTATCGACCTCCTCTTGGGTTATCTGCATCTTTGATGTGCAGCCACATTGCTAACAGGTCCGGCAGCAGCCCCCCCCCCCCGAGGAAGACAGCGCTTTACCTTCATCTGTCTCAGACTCAGTCCCAGCGGCACCAAGTGGCTTTGGCTGCTCCTAATCCCTTTTCCCCCCTCTCTCTGCAATTATACGTAGCCCTGAGTGACAATTACTACCATTCATCCCCTCCATAGCCCGCCTCCTGGGTTTAAATGACATGCTCTTTGAGAGGAGTTGCTCTAATGATATAATTACTCCGGCTCAGCCACCTTCCTACCACCAGCACTCAGGCATGGACGATCCCCTCAGAGCTGATTTACTTCAAAACACCTCGCCAGCCCGCTGGGCAGAGCTTTAAATTGCTCTCTCATGTAGTTTAGTCTGGAGTTCAGGTGTAATATTTTGATATTTGTGAGGGAGCCTCTCGGTTAAGACAAGTCCTGAGAGCAATGTCTGTTTTGCAATTTCCTGATGGCTGCTTTTGAAAGTATCTGGCAATAACTGAGAGGCAGGAAAGACCAGATGCCATCGACTTACAGTATAGCGCTGTAGATCTGCTGTCTGTTGAGCAGCACGTATGCAGGGTGGAGTTAGACCTGCGGCTTACAGCTGCAGATCAGCCGCAGGTCTAACTCCACCCTCGGCCCTGGTGAAGCCGACACAGTGGGATTCTTGTGCCAGGTTAAGAGCACAAACACAGCAGCCTTTTCTCAAGTCGGTGGGAAGTCAGGGGCGGACAGATGCTCAACATACTTGCTCGCTTTCTGCTGACGCTGTTAAAAAATGTGCTTTCGCTTATACTTCCCCCGTCGAAAGCATCTCACCTCACAGGATGTTTTGCACTTTGTCTTTACGTCGAGAGGCCGGCGTAGTCGACTTTAGATTCATCGTGCGTTGGTTTGAAACCACAGGACACAGGTGGAAATTAACCCACTTTCTTTATGCAAGAAGCGTCTTCCTGTGCACATGAAGACAGGCTCGAGCGTGGTGATGTGGTTTCACTGTAGCAGCAACGTCACATGCTCAGTCTGGCAGTGCAGTGTTGAAGTTGTTCCTCTGTTTACCTGATAGGCTCTCAACCAGCCAAACATCAGCTCCAGTGATGGGTCCACGTCATGTAGACTTGTATAAACTCATTTCCGACTTGCTTGTGGGATTAAAAAAACAAATTTTTTCCTCGTGATGCCTCGGCTACTGATGCTTAATTGATCCTGGGAAGTTTGGAATATCCCATCACAGGATTATTTCCATCCCTTAAAGCCACAGGATCCACTTTCCACTTGTGCTGTTGTGTGGTAGGGAGCACTCCCTTCTAGGAAACACTAAACTGGGGAGGCGAGGAGAGGTTCTTCTTTCCATGTTGACTGGCCTCTCAAGACATTTTATGTAGAAATCAAAACTCTTACATTTCTCCCTCCCCACACTACTACATAGAGCCATCCTCCTCTTTTCTTTTCGCTAATCATGAGCGGTGTTGGCACAACAACTTTCTACATGGGGAGCCGACTCATCGGGATGACAAATTAGAGACTTCTCGGCGAGAAGATGCATCCGTGTTTCCTTTGTTTGTTGTTCTTGCCTGTCTGGCAGTTGTCTCCTCAGATGATTACCCAAACCCGCAGGCACTCATCACACAATCCTGTCTGTCTCACTGATACCGCTCTGCCTGCTGGCAAAGTCAAGTCTGAACATGACCAAAGGAGGTGGATGCCACGGCACACTGCTCTGGTTGTTAAAGAGTTCACAGGGAGAGGAAAAATGCATCCACCCCTCTTGGATGAAAATTGTTTGGATTTTCTTGCGGTTACGTTGAATATCTGCTTCTACTTACAGGCAGATTCCACATGATTCCCAGCTCTTTAATTAAGCTTTTCTTGCTTTTAATCATAATAAATAATACATACATTTGTGTCATTGATCATCGTGAAAGTGTTTGAGGCGGTTTTTTACTCATTTAATGTCATTTTTGGCTGCTTGAACAGTATTTACCGAATAGCAAGATATGAACTTTCTCTGTATTCCTGCAGAGAACAGAAGTTTATTCACACCAAATTCACTCTCTGTCTTCTGTCACTTCACTTCTATTTTTTTTCAGAAGCCTCCATAATGAAGCTACGGAGGTTGTGCAAGTTTTGTGATGAGAAACTAACCAGCTGCACCGGCAAAGGCAGCTGCATGGTGGAGTGTGAAATCACTGCCATCTGCCCCCACGAGGAAGACGTGTGTGTCAGTATCTGGTAAGTGTCCCCTCGACTGAAAGGACAAGTTTTCCAAACCACAGTCTGATCTGATGGTTGTAACACAGTGTTTTTTACATAAATGAATGATTAAGTCGGTATAGTTACTGTGAGACCTTCCCTACATCCTGCACATATTACACACAGGGCTCCAGACTACAACCAAAATGTTCCCGTTAGCGACTTTTTTTGTGCGAGTGCATGATGATTATTGAGCTTTATTAGGCCACGTTTACACAAAGCCAGGCATTCACAAAAACAGATCTACATTTTTAAAAATAACATCGTTCACGCAAACCATCATAAACATATCGTTAAGAGCTGCTATGAGCTGCCAGACCTGTAGGGGGCAGTGTAACAAGAAGCATAAAGCCATGCTAACCAATCATCCATCCATCCATCCATCATCTCTACACCTTAATCCTCACTAGGGTCATAGGAGGCTGGAGTCTATCCCAGCTGACTCAGGGTGAAGGCAGGTTCACCTGGACAGGTAACCAGTCTATCACAGGGCTACACTTAGAGACAGACAACCAAGCACACTCACATTCACACCTACGGACAATTTAGAATCACCAATTAACCTCAGCATGTTTCTGGACGGTGGGAGGAAGCCAGAGAACCCAGAGAGAACCCACGCTGCATGAGGAGAACATGGAGACTCCACACAGAAAGATCCCGGGTGTCCTCACCGGGACGCCAACCGGCGACCTTCTAACTGCGAGGCAACGATGCTAACCACCGAGCCACCTGCAGCCCTGCTAGCCAATCAGAATCCTGGAAAAAACACAACAATGAATTACTTCCTGTTATGACAATGCCGCGAGGGTCGTTTGTTTGGACTGACAGTTGCACAAACATAAAAACCAGCACAGCTTTAACAGCATCTATTTCTATCACATTATCCAAACATGGTCGCACACATGTCTACATGCAAACGTTGCGTTTTTCCACATCTCCACTTCGGCTGGAGTTTTCAGATGTGATCGTTTTCAGGGACTTGTAGCTTCGTTTACTTGTAAACCAAAGGCCCATTGAGATATCACCATCTTTGTGTGAACAAGGGTCTAGTGTCGCTGTAACCGGCACAGCCAGCTGCTGTGTTCACCACAGTGGTGGAAAGTAGTACCTTCATAACTTCGGTGTACCGCGGTATTTACGCTTAAAAATTAGTTTTTTTCGCGAGAAGTGGAGCGCACCTGCATTCGCTGTTTTTCTGCTCATAAAAAATGGCGCATGTAAAAAAAAATAATAATAATAATTTTGGACAAATGTGAAACTAGAACGCCCTAGTTTATTTTTTTAAAGTCCTTTTTGGTCGCACACCTGTCTGAGCACACCAACAGCATCGACCTGCAATTTGGGGCGTTTAGGGAACATTGGTAAATTGTAGAGTCTATAAAATGTTGAGCAAGTCAAATGCTTCGCCTGTGACAGGGTGGAAGGTGCGACCAAATGTTGGTCACACCAGTGCTACCAGAGAAAGAGTTGGTCTGATATGTATATATGTATATCATCCCTCGTGCTCACACAAAGAGGTGAGGAGAGAAGGGGAAAGTGAATCGTCTTTTTTAAAAAATCTAATCAGGCATCATTTCCCCGAAGCTCTAAAACGTCGCCGTTGAAGTGACCTTTCCCTTTCAACACTTTGTCAGTCAGCGTTCTGCCGAAGACAGTTGGTCGGATTATGACAGCGCACGAGCGCCTAACCACCCATCAGCATCAAATCTGACTCTGAATGTGAGAAGCAGCAGGAAGCAGATTTGCGTTGGTGTTAAAAGCTTAAGGCCGCGCTGCTGTTTCTCATTATATTCGCGATGTAGCGGGCGCGTTATGAGCTGAGGTTAGCAGAAAGCTAATGGCACATGGACTGCGGCGCCTCTTTAAAATGTCTCTCATAAGCGCCCAGCCAGCGCTGCTCAGCAGGGACGCAGAATTTAAATATGCAGATTTGTGCAGGTTCAGGTTTTTCCCGTTTCCCTGTTTGTAATGGTATTTCAAAAGCTCACTGTTTGTAGCTTTGGCCTCGGTGTTGCAGTCATTTACATAATGACATTTACAGCTACCACTTTATCACTGTGCTGCTGGAAAACAGCGTTATTTGCACAGTGTAGACCTGCCATCATCTCTCTGGTACATGACAGCACAGGTTTCTGATAAGGGGGCGTCTGAGCTTCTGATAAAGACGATAAATCAAAGTTAACCAGTAAATTACAGCTTCTTGTGTGTCTGTGTTGTTGTTTTTTTTCTTTCCAAGGAGGAGGAATGACACCATCTTCACTTTTGATACCGTGTGTCACAACCCGGCCCAGAAGCTGCACGGCCTGGTTCTGGAGGATTACAACAACAGCAAGTGTGAAATGAAGGAGAGGAAGGGCATGGGCTCCCAGTTCTTCATCTGCTCCTGCTCTGAGGACGAGTGCAACGAGCGCATCTTTTTCAACTCCAGTGAGTTACTTGTTTTGGTCTTGTTTTATACAGAGTTGGTTTATGTGTTAGCAGGGACAGCCGTGACTGGATAATTGACC